CGAGGGGAAGAAGGATCGGCCGACTACAATCAGGCCGCCGCGATAAGCTAGGTGGCTTGACATTTCCGCGGGAACGGTCTGAGATACAGATTTTTCAGTAACGGGGGCTGCTCGCTGTATCATTGTCCCATCAGAACGATGCCGTAGCTTGTCCATGGCTTCCTGAAAAATTCTAGACTGTCTCTGCTCAAGGTTAATTCACACCAGTGGCGCCATAGACCTCACTTCCAAGAGAAGAACGGCACGCTTTATATTATTGAGTCACCTGAGCGGGTTGAACCCCTGTTGCTGCTTATCCTCCGAGTCGGCTCGGCCTCGATGGTGGGGCAGGTAGCTTATGTACCACCACCGGTCTTGGGAGTAGAAGACGAGCGGAGGGCACGCCTCACCACACAAAGCCGTGATATGCGTGCTTTGTGAGGAGACTGAGCTGTAAGCGGCACCTGCTGTACTACACCGCCTGTCCATCTACAAAACTCAATTTGACCGAGTCTACGCCGCACGATTCAAAGCTGGGCGATAGAATCGCCTGGCTTCCGTTTGATTTCTATGATGCCTCTGGTATACAACAGTTAACGTGGCTCTTGAGCTTACTTATATACTTACTTAATTGTATCATTCTGCCTTGCGCAGGTGCTGTTCCAATGCCAATCCCCTCAAATACGAAACTCGGGGCTCTTGCGGGTCCAGCTCCCCCCATCCTTATTCTACGTGCCCGATACCTCACCTTGAGACTGGAACGAGCAGCGTGGTCGTGGCGTGATATCTGCTGCTGTTCTACATTCAAATCAATTCTTTGCAAATAGAAGCTATTTATAACATTGAAGAAATATCCCGAGTCCGTTGTCAAATACTTACATTTGAGCAAGACTAATGCATAATCCACATAGTGGCAGCGTCACCTTCGGTATCTTTACTGTTCTGACTGCCGCTATATCAGCCCAAAGCCGCCCTCGCCCTCGCCGGCCCAACCTCGACAACGAGACACATCGCGCTGTACATGTATTCGAGGGTCGGCGAATTGCCGTACGCGGCATAAGGTGCGCCGCGCTTCGACACGTCCTCAGGCCGCAGCTCCGTCGCCCACCTCACGACAAGATCCCTCTTCGGTATGTCGTCGCCATCGTCATAGCACTCCTGTTCAACACCGATAACCTTCCCGTGATAGAACTCACACAAGTGGTCCGACGGGGTCTCTTCGCAGAAGCCTGCCGTGCCGAAATTGGCGACCCCCGGGCACATCACGGTCTTGCCCGTGGCGTCGCCGTGGTAGACCATCTGCAGCGTCGCCTTGAGGCCGAGGTCCCGGCACACTTTGGCCAGCACCGCGTCCTTGCCCTTGAGTGCCCCACTGAGCAGGTCGGAGAAAGCGCACAGCGAGTGCTGTGACTCGGTCGGGTCATCGTACACCGCATACTCGTGTCGTAGACCGAACCCGATGTAGCCGCCGCCAGACAGGTAGCTAGTGTCGTTTAGGAGTGCGTTAAAGGCTTCCTTCAGGGCCTCCTCAAATGATGTGCTCCCGGGAGGGCCTTTATCTTCTGAGTTGACGATATAGAGATTATAGGTAAGGGTGACCCGATACCCCGACTGCACCGGCTCCACCTCATGCTTGACATCGCCGTAGAAAGCAGAGAAGGCGATAGAAGTAGAAGAAGCTTGCGAGAGTACCTTGGATGAATCAAACCTGAGTTCTTGACCGTGGTGGCGCAAAACGAGGGTACCGCCCTCGTGCGGCGTGGGGAGTACGACCACGAGAGAACCTATCATATTCTTGGCCCGCGGTGTGTCCTTGTGGGCCTTGAAGAACGATCCAGGGCCTAATGAAGGGACAAATGAGTGAGCGCCTCCTGACAGCGCTGCGCGGACTTGCCGTAGACGTTCAAATTGTGGAGCTCCGTCCGCAACATTTTCCTCGGGCCATACCCTTGAAGAAGGACATCGCTGATGGATCGCATCAGGCCCGAGCGATCGGGGTCGAATGTTGACGCAAAGCTCCTCCTGTCGAGCTTGCCCGCCTTGCGATAGGACTCGTCGAAGACGTCTTGCTGGTTGCGCCCGAAAGTCGCAGGCTCGCACGCTTGGAATAGGCGCTGAATCTCGCCGTCTGTGTGAGACATGAAGTCGATACGATCTGGCCTGTGAAAATATAGGATAAGCGGTACGTGACGGCTGGTGAGGGACAGAGTGCGCACTTGGAGTTGGGGCCATTCACGCCGTAATAGAGGATGAGATCGTCGGGATGCACGGGGAATATCCCACTGGAAGCTGCCTCGGCGAGCACGCTTTTGTCGGCGATGACCGCATTTAAAGCCCGCAGACGCGGATGCTTGGGTGAAAAGTCTGTTGGGCCGGGAGATGGGGGAATTGCTTCATCTGCGGAGGAGTGCATTGACTCGTCGTCAGACATTGTGGATGGAATGACGGAAGGTACGTGCTCGCTGACCTTTCTATAACGCACAGGATAGGGGACCCAGGGGCCACCCACTCTCAACGCTGTAAAAGATATGATAGGGGGTATAACGGACTGCCGAGAGCAATCTCTCACCTTAAGTATACCTACCAATTCCGGGCCAGTAGCGCTTCCGTTGATAGTCATTACGCCTAAAACGCGAGGGACAAGCCATTGCCGAGACCTTGCGTTTTGATCTCGTCGGCCACGCATACCTTGCGAGCCCGCGCCAATGATGTAGGATAATCAGTAAGTTTACTATGAGCACCATGCAGGTTGGGGAACTCAAATATGCGGTACGACGGAAGTCTGCGACGAACTCATTTCAGGGATTCCCGATTTGGTTAGCGGGGCCTGTCCTGCACGCTTCAGTGATCGCGCCCCCGCCGGTTTGCTCATAATAGTTGTCAACGTAACGCTTAGGATTTTGAAAGCCATCTCTCCCTAGTCGGCCAAAGAGGACAGGAAATTGTAGCGAGCTCTTGTGGACTGAATGTCAGCAGCGACGTGGAAAGAAGATTCGATTCGATGACGGTGCATCCGAGCGGGCGGGCAAGAGTTGTAGCTCGCGACGATGAGCCGGGGCTGGTATCAGACGCATGCTTGATGTTTTTCAAGGCACTCCTGTACGTCGTCGCTGGACGCGAACCAGCCAGCACCGCAGACGACTTCGCCACTCACGATAAAATGCGCCGTCGACAAGCACACTACCCCCCTCCAGACGAAGTTGCGGAGCACGATCGTCCGGCGACCGTCGCGTTCTGCGCGAGCAGATCTCCTCTTTGCGCGCACCGAGGAGTCGGGCATTGGGTACCGGTCGATGTAGAATAAACTGTCTCGATTCTCCTCGATAACGTCCGCCAGTACATTCGCGGCAAGGAACGAGAGTGAATGAAAGACCGACCGCAGGGCGCCACCGAGTCAGGCTGAGTCTCGTTCTCCACCGCTTAAAACCCCGACAGGCAAACGCTGTCGGCTAGTAAGTCGGACATCTGAAATCGACTATTTAGCGAAATCCATGTCGATTAAGACTAGTGCATAACATACGTAAAGATGCATTTGGAACGGCGGAAGTAATTGCAGAACTTCCTCACTCTGGAGCATACCCACCCTACCAATTCCGCTGGTCACTAGTCATTATGCCTAAAACGCAAATGATAATCCTTACTTTGCTTTGGATCTCGTCCGCTACGTGCAAGTTCGGAGATTTGGTCTAAATGCCCGATTTGAGTCAGCGGGGTCCCTCTGGATCACGCCTCGATGATGGAGCGCGCCACGCCGGTTCCGCTCCAGCCTCACGCTCCTGAGGGGAATGAGTACTAGTGAGCGAGGTCGCTCTTGTCCGCCAAGTCCTCGGACAAAAAGGTGTGGCAACAGAAGATTATTCAGTGACGATCTTTTTTAGACTATAACCCGAGGTCGCGTGAGCCAAAGTGCAGATAATCCCAGGCCTTTCGTGAAAATATGATCTCTTGTTGCTCGGTGAATACTCCTAGATTCTCTCGATTATCATTTAAAACCGCACGCGCACAAAGGACGTAACAAGTCAAAAGAAGAGTTTGTATACCACAGCTATATACGCAAACGATCTGCGCGACGTCCAAGCGTCTCTACCTTCTTTTCTAACCGCTGACATTCTTGCGGAGAATGGTGAACTCCGGAAGGAGCACTTGTGGGAACTCGGGCTTCACAGTTATCAGCTCGTCAAACCCCAAGGCTTTAGCAATCTTGATCTAGGAGACAGTAAGCACGCATATCACGAAATTGAGAAGCTGCTTTATCATACATTCGTTTTGTTAGATGCCTCGCATAGAATCGGCATCCTTTTGGTCGGGTCGGGTTCATCTCGCCTCACCTACAGGTGGAAGCTTAGGCAAAAGGTCGCTAAGAGACAAGGAAAAGCACACCCCTCATCCTCGACAGCTTTCAACAGAGTCTTTCCGACCTTTTTGAGTCTCCAGTCGGGCTTTACGGCGAAGCTGTTGACGGCCCAGGCTGGTAGCTTCCCTCCAGTAGTCCCAAGTTTCTTGTCTATGAGACTGTCGAGGCCAGCGAGGATATTCGGAGCGGTCTACAACAAAAGGCGCACAACACTCGGCTCTGTTTTATGATGAAGAATGCTGGGCTACAATGATACTCACTACTTCCCAAAAGAATCTCAGGTTCGGAGGGAGTTCCTTGAGGAAGTCAGCAAACCCCTCTCCCTGTTGTTCATCACTAAACTATCTTATCAACAAGGGCGAAGTAATCCGGGAATGAAATGCTTACTGTCCCATAATAGATGTCCCGGGCGCATAGGCAGAAATGGTTCCGATGACGTGGCCCGTTCGATCATCAATCGCTATAAACAGGTGTGCACCCTTGGCAGTACCTCGTGCGAGAGCAAGGTGGAGTTTCTTGAAAATTTCTTGATCTCCACTGCAGCCGAGGCATGAGATGATACCTAGAAGTGACATCAGTCGGGGGGACGCGCTCAGGAAAAAAGTGGGCAACTGCTCACCACGCACGGGGTCGAATAGTGCATCGGCAGCAATCTCTGCGGCAACCTTTACCCTTGAATCTGCGGGCGCGACGATCATACCAAGGACCTGGGTATATCCAGACGGTACTCACCGTTGGGCTGTGTAAAGCGATCAACGTGGATTGGCGATTTCAATTCGAGTATGATGACTTTGTCATCATCTTGCGTCCTGCGAGTCGTGTTTGCTTATACAGCTTCAGCGATGGTATAAAGGTATACGTGTGGATATCGCGTACGGCGACGTCCAGACATGTCTCGGGAGTTCCGGGCTAACTGGAGGATCGTGTCACGCGCGGGCTTTCTATGCAAGGTCGAGGTCGAAGAGGCAGAGTACTCGTGAGCGAAGCGTGCGAGGTTCCAGGGCTTGTCCAAGGAAACGCTGTCGTATATATCCATTGGCTCTACTCTTTATTGCCGGGAAATGACTGGGAAGATCAGGCCGATAACGTTGGATGCCAACAGTACACATGGGAAACACTCGGACCCCCAAGGCATGTGTTATCCCACACTTCACTCATCGCTAAAGCCGCGGCTTTGGAATATCCACCATTTCTCGATAGCGGATGAGAGGAACTTGGTGGCTCGAGGCGCGAGCTCGAAGCCGACTTGGGCAGGCTCGAGCCCACCACGGAACGCCGCGCCACAAAGGCTCTGACAAATAGGTATTAGCAAAGTGAGCAAAGTGAAAGTAGCTACTTATCGTGGCTCGCAATGTTTACGACGGCAGAACTACAGTCAAAACAAGAAGGCCATTAAGAATGAATTTGTATAGTACCCGGCGCCTTGCGAATGGAGAAGGGAAAAGGGGTGATCAAGCTGGGGTCCTCCGAGGAAAGGATTCCGGCGCTGGTGCGGGGCAGGTTCTTCCAGTAATATGCCCGGGACTGACAACTACACCAAATTCCACCGAATATGGGGTGTACTCACCGGCACCCACTGGTATCCAGTGAAGTCCAGTGCTAGTCTCCAGTGGCTGCCGCTGTTGGCTGGTGGGTATCAGTGAGTAACAGTGGGTGGCAGTGAGACACACCGGATCCCGCTGGGCTTCACAGGTTGCCACCGGCTACTGGCACACATCACCAGCGATTTGTATAAAACATTGCTCGAAGCCACTGGCTTATCAAGTACCGATATAAATACAAATATTCTTCTGTAATAGGCTCAATAAATGCTTAGCCACTGGCATCTGTATAGATGCCTATTCTCCTCTGAACTGTGCACTATCCCAGAACTCAGCTCTCACTGAAGTGTCTCTACACAGTACACTGTCTGAGTGCAAAGGTGTAGTAAATTGATTGCCAG